TTGTATATTAGGCTTTTATTATATAGGATAACTTCTTCAGAAAGGTTAGGCTTAACACTTACTACACTTTTAAGCTGTAAAATATGCGCTACATGTGTCCCACACCAAAAGCTGACCAAGTAACACAGTGAACTCAGGAAGCTTTTGTCACTATTGATTTGTCATTTGTTCATTCACTTTCATCTCTACTAGCATTTGCAGGAGGACATGTTGGTTTCAAGGAGTGGGGGGGGGGACGGAAATGAGCAGAGAAAGACATTCCTTAATTCAATTTTGAATTCAAATTATGTGGGACAGGTCATTATCTGACCTGAGAAGCGAGTTGCTTGTAACCCCCAATATTGGAACATGTGTATTCACTGTGTGCCAAGCTCCATATGAAGGGCTTTGGTAGGTGGGGTATTTGGGACAGATCGACCAGGATTCATCCAGTCCCAGCTCTGCCACGCACTTGCTACATGACCTGACAAAGTCACCAACCTCTTGGGTCTCAAGTTCCACATTTGTAAAAGGAGATGATCATAGTACCTGCCTCTTAAGCTCTGTGACTGAAGTTCCCGGTGCTTAATAGATGGTAGTGATCTTAATCTTTAAATTGCCATATTCTAAAAGATATATATTATTAGCATGTATTATAAGATATTTTTTTAAGGGGCAGAAACTGAGGTTCAGAGGGATTAAACAACTTATGCTAGGTTATTCAGCAGATACGTGAAAACCCAGGGCGAGGCCTCTGCTCCAAATCCCTCTTCCTGGCGTGAGGACATCACGGGCATCCTCCAGGTGAGGTGCACTGTATTCCAGTCTCCTTTGAGAACTCAGTCTTAGCCTTTGAAAACACAAGTGGTGTCAGGTGGACCCTAAGCCAAAGGCGATTAGGAAAGAGTTGAAAGAATGAGAGAACGGTGGCAATGATAAAATTCAACAGCACCAAGTCCATGGGCTGCTTCACATCCGTGTAGACAGACAGGCCCCTGTGGACAGAAGGGAAGGGTTCACTCCCAGTGCACTGAGAAGAAGATGGAACTTACCTCCCAGGCATCCAAGAATGTAAATTTACTGGAGAGGACATTGCTTTCCGCAACATTGAGGAGAGAGTTTTGTCCAGGCTGAAAATGCAGAACGAAGAGCTTAGTGCATTGTTCATCTGAGCACTTGGTTTGTCCAGGGAGACTTCCGGGTCCTAACTCATGCTAAACACCCACACCTTCATCCTATTTTTTCAAGTTCCAGAGTGCCAACTTCAAGAATGTGAGTTTGAATTATCCTAAATACTGTAGGATAAGTCCGGTAGCATAAAACATATATTCTTATATTTTAGAAACTGCTGGGATGGTTTTAAAATCTATTATGAGCACATTCCAAAAGCCACTGTTGTCGCCATGGGCACTATCTTCATACCCAGACCCTATAGATACTTGGGGACAGACTTCAGTTTCAAATCAACCAACAAGGGTTAGCTCCCAAAGAAAGTGGTGTCCTGAGGGAATACCATATATTGGCCAAATTCTATTCTTCGGCCTTAAGAAGCCTGGAGTTAGGGATGGTACACTATTGTCGCTGAGGTGAGAGAGTCAGGACTTTGTGTCCCTCCTGTCTGCCAAGTTCCGGCAGGAGCAGAGCCCCAGGACACGAGGGCCATTTCTTCAGCGAGGACTGGCTACCTTCCAGCAGGACCATACCTGGGCTCTTCCCCAAGGTGGCACCCCAGGGCACCAGAGGGTTGAGCCCTGACATATCAGCATGGGAGAGTTCCCCTGGGAAGGGAACTGTTGTCCTGGGATCAGGACGAAGGAGATGTGGCAGCTGCTGCTTGCCTGGACTGCCAGAAAGCATGTTTCTCCCAGAGTGAGGGAATGCCTGGGCCCGTGCTTGTTTCATGAGCCACACGTGGACTCAGCTCTTCTTCCAGGTTTTTGTCTCCTCCCGATAACCTGCAGCTCAAGTCACAAAGTGCAAGGCCTCCTGCTCCATCCGCCCCATGCCCAGCCCTGGCACCTACTTGGGAACTGGAGATGGGGACAGGAAGTAGCTCAGACCTGTGATCCCTGTAACCCCTGTGGCCAGTGAATGAGGTAGAGGTCCAGGTAGTCCAGTCTCAGATCCATGAGGGACTTCTGACAGGCTTCCTTCGCTAGGGTTCTCTCAAAGAAGGTAGACCACAGCTGATGAGTGAAAGGCAAGATGTCAGTACAGGGGAAAGGAAGGCCCCGCGACTCGCTCTCCCTGCCGTGGATGCATACCCTGATCTAACCAGAGGCAGGCCTTTTAGAGCAAAGTGGGTTAAGACACATGATCCAGGTATTGGAGATCACCAGGCTGCTCAGCAAGTCAAGGACATTTTTAAGTGTGAGGACAAGTTATTTTTTCAACTCTCCTGGCCTTCTGTCTGTCTCACCTATTGTTTAGCATATTTGGACCCTGGCTCGGTATTTGTGTAATGCCGAATTCTCTTCCTCAGCTATCGGCTTTCCGAGGGCAGGAATTGTGTGTAGCTTTTAAATGTCAAGCATTTTTAAGTCTTTGGGAGCAAATGGTCCTTCCTCGGCATTTTCATGTCTCTGGGCCCATGGGCCCCAAGTTTTGACTCTTTAAGAAGTTTATCCAGATTCCACCACTGCATACAGTGGATCTGGGCACTTTCCAAGTACCTGTAACTAGTGTTTGTTTAGCAAGTTGGATATAATACAGATCCAGGGATTCTCACCTCTCTCTCACCCTGCCCTTTATTTAAAACTAGAGGCCCAGTGCACGAAATTCCCATATGAATTACAAGAGGGATGTGCAACGGGGAGCGGGCCTAAGCCAGCAGTTGCACATCCCTCTCGCAGTCTGGGATCCCTCACTGGCAGTTGAGAGGCTCCTGCTACCGCTGCTGCACTCGCCAGCCATGAGCCCGGCTTCTGGCTAAGCGGCGGTGGGAGCTCACTGACCACCAGGCGGCAGCTCCTGCATTGAGCGTCTGCCCCCTGGTGGTCAGTGCACATCATAGCAATCGGTCGTTCTGGTTGTTCTGCCCAATAGTCGCTTAGGCTTTTATTATATAGCTAACATTTTGTAACTCACCTTTTACTAGACTGAACTAAAATAAAATTTGCATGTGACAACAAAAAAACAATCTGGCCATTTTCCAAAATACCTCTGGGCCACAGCCATTGAGACCAGTGCTGAAAGGCAGGGCTTCGGGATCAATCCTGACTGCACCCTTAGCCTTTGACTCTCATGGGGCAGGTGGATCCCATGGATGGAGACGGCCACCATGGCTCAGTGGAGCCCTCCCCACTAGGGAAAACTGCCTGGAGATGGGTGGGTGGCAGCAGTATCTCCCCACACCAATGCTGTTCGACAGTGTGGATATGTGTATATCCAGGGATGTCATAAAGGCAGGGATGAAGAGGGCTGGGAAATGATGCTAGAACTCAGAGGAAAGGCTGGCAGAGTTCTGGGTGCTGACCATATCCAAAGCCTCCCACCTTTACTTAAAGTGCAGTCCTCCCAGCAAAGGAGACTGGTACTGAAAAATAATCATATTATTTTAAATCTTAGAACACAAATACTTAAGTGAATAGGGGGTTAACTTTCTTACATGTGAACTAGAGGCCTGATGAGTGAAATTCATGCAGGGGCTCCGCCCTTGCAGCCCTGGCTTCATCAGGAAGGTCGTTTGGCTGTCCAGTCTAATTAGCATACTACGCTTTTATTATTATAGATAGGGGGTTACGTTTTTCTTAGTTTTCTTTCCAAGGCCTGTGCGAAGCGACTGAGGAGGGGACTCAGCTGTGAATCCAGCAAGCAGAACCAATAAGAACAGTCAGACCGACCCACCAGGAGTCAAAACATCATGTCATCAACATCATCTCATCAATGACTAAAGGACAATAGCTGATGTCTGCAGCCCCCCAGGGCTGCACGTAGCCCCCCAGCCCTCTCCCCTTCATAATTCTGCCCCCTGTACCTTGCTGGGAAGGCAGGATTTGATGCTTGTAAGCACCTTGTGTTCTCGGTTGGCTGGCCTTCACAATAAATGCCTAATATGATTTAACCCTGCCTTCGTTATTGGACAGAGCGACAGGCAGCCCGAGCGCCACCGGGGTTTCCTGGTAACAGTACCTTGCTAACGATGAAGAGGTCCTCCCGCTTCACAGCCTTGTCTTGGATCTTCTCTTGGATGGCTTCTCCCACCTGGTTCTCATTACAGTAGTAATAGGCACAGTCGATGTGGCGATACCCTGTGTCAACGGCCACCTTCACAGCCTCCTTGACTTTGTCTAGGGGGGACTTAAGAGAAAGGCCACATATATCATATCCCCCAGCCCACCTTCAAAGGGCTCTGCTCCAAGCCTGGCTTCTCCCAACCAAGGCTTCCCTGGGGTCACTTTCCAGGAGACACCTGGGAAGAACAGCACGCTTGGAAGACTCCCCAAAGGGGAAGGAGGAAAAGTGAGTCCACTTCTGATTATGGCCTCATGGCCTAACCCAGCTCATAAAAGCCCATTTCCTTCTAATCCAGGTTAACCCTCCGGCTCTGCAATGTCTCCCGGTGTGCGGGGGAGCGATGGCTCCGACAGCAACCCCTCTAATGACCGGGCTGAAAACTGGATTTTGAACCACCCAAAGGAATCTACCGATGGAAAATGGTCATTGCAGCAAAAACTAAGCTCGTCGCAGACTAGGTGTGAGACCTGAGCAGATGACTTACTTTATCTAAACTTTGTCTGCAAAATGGGAATAATACTAGTTGCTGCCCCGGAACGTCATCGTGTTAACTGCCACAAGGAATGTAAAGTTCTTAGCACAGCACCCGGAACACAGCAGGGAGCAATTTGCCGTCACTTCTGTATCAAGGTCGAAGCTCTGATTTGAAGCAAAACAGCCTCATTCAAGCAAGAGAAGCTGGGACTGAGGTAAACTGGAGGAGAACTGCTCACCCAGATTGACCGAGAATGCTTCCTGGGAATGACCCAATCCTGGGACTACACAGGATTCTGCCCTCTAACTCAGCAGTTCTCAACCTGTGGGTCGAGACCCCTTTGGCGGTCGAACGACCCTTTCACAGGGGTCGCCTAAGACCATCCTGCATATCAGATATTTATATTATGATTCATAACACAGAGACACAGAACCTAGAGACTGAAGAACTTCGCTGGAGAGAACATGGCAAGAGAACCTAGACAGAACCTGGTGACAGAACTCGGCTACAGAACCTGGCGACCGAACCTGGCTGGAGAACCTGGCTGGAGATCCTAGACAGAACTTGGCTGGAGAACTGGCTACAGAACCTGGCTGGAGACCCTGACAAGAGAAACCGGTTATGATGATCACCTGAATGCTGCCTCTGTGTCATTCCTTCTTTACCGACTCCGTCCACACCTTTGGGGACCCCCTGGACCTGCTGGGGTTGTACCCCAGCAGAGAACCACTGCTCTAACTCAAAAGAGGAGATGGGAAAGATTGAGTGCAAAGAAGGGCAGAGACAGAGGAGAAAGAATCAGCAGAAGGGCAAGAGAGAAGAAATGCAGAGATTGCTCCCATCACTCGTTAGGATCTGAGAAGAAAGATTCATTTGATGTAAATGCTGAGAAGAAACAAATCTGCTGGGATAGACTCCCCATAGGTGAACTGAGAACCCCATTTTATAAATCATAGGAGTCTAGAACCAGTTGCTGAGACGGGCTCCTCAGGCATTCTGCATACCAGGAAGAACCGTAGGCTGAACTCTCAGTTTCCTGCACTACCCCCACTCCACTCATTTACATTACTAGAGTCCCGGTGCATGAAATTAGAGCATGGGGTGGGCGGTGTCCCTCAGCCCGGCCTGCACCCTCTCCAATCTGGGACATTCCTCTCACAATCTGGGACTGCTGGCTCCTAACCACTCACCTGCCTGCTTGCCCACCGGCCTAATTGCCCCTAACCACTTCTGCCTGCCAGCCTAATTGACAACTAACTGCTTCCCTGCCAGCCTGATTGCACCCAACTGCCCTCCCCTGCAGGCCTGTTTGCCCCCAACTGCCCTCCCCTACCGGCCATCTTGTGATGACGTCATGTGAGGGCATCATGCCACCTAGGCTTTTATTATATAGGATATTTACATTTGTTACACCACCATCTAAGCCAACAGCTGCAGGGAAGCTCTGAAACCTACACCGAACAATCAGAACTGCACAATTTCTATATTTCTATACCTCATTTACATAAAATGGACCTAATTGGAAACCTGTGTGGGAACTTTCCCCTGCTCTGGCCAGTCTGCTCAATGGTTAGAGTGTTGGCTGGCAGATTGAAGAGTCATGGATTCAATTCCCAGTCAAGGGCCTGTTTCCTGGTTGTGGGTTCCCCAGTCTCAGTGAGGGCGCATTTGGGAAGCAACCAATCTCTTTCATGTCGATGTTTCTCTCTCTCTCTCTCTCTCTCTCTCTCTCTCTCTCCCTCTGTCTGTCTCTGTCTCTCTTTCTCCCCCCTCCCTTTCTCTTCCCTCCCTTCCACTCTCTTTAGAAGTCATTGGAAAAAATACCCTCCAGTGAGGATTTTAAAAAGAGTGTCCTCCCCTTTGTCTCAGTGGAACACAATTTAGGCTGCTACCTGAGTCTGTATCCTGGGCTGCAGCTCCTTTCTACCCAAACCAGTGGTCCTTATTCCTGATTACAGTCTAAAATTAAGGTTGCTTTACATTGGAAACAAGAAAGAAGGCCCAGGAAGGAGATGGGAAGGCATTTAAAACTTAGCCTAAGAGAGGCTCCAGGATCTGCTTCCCTGAACTCTGCACAGTGCCTTTCTGGGTTTTGTCCTCAGCCCACACTGGGACACCCCCCACTGGGGGCACAGTACCTCTCAGACCCCGGGGTGCACCGCAGTCACCTGGGGATCTTGCTGAACTGCAGATTCCACCTCAGTAGCCTGAGATGCGGCCTGAGCTTCCTTCCACATTTCTACCGAGCCCCAGAGCAGAGGGATGCGGGTACACCCCGAGCAGCAAGGAGTGCCGGGCTTTCTGCACCCTGACATCCCCCTCACACCCTTTCAGTAACCTAGAGCCAGGGAGTGTTCAGAGGGAAGGCTGCTGAAAGAGAAACTGCCCTGGAAAACCTCCGGGGTTTTGTGAAGCCCAACAGTGTCTTCACCCCGAGCAGCAAGGAGTGCCGGGCTTTCTGCACCCTGACATCCCCCTCACACCCTTTCAGTAACCTAGAGCCAGGGAGTGTTCAGAGGGAAGGCTGCTGAAAAAGAAACTGCCCTGGAAAACCGCCGGGGTTTTGTGAAGCCCAACAGTGTCTTGTAACCGGGTATTTGCTAGTGAACTCTCACTATCACCGGACTTGCAGTTTTGCAGCTCGAATCATCCCTGAGAAAGAAAAGTCACATCGCATCTACCCAGACCCCTGGCTCCCAGGAGAAAATGCCCAAAGCCCCTCCAGGGGATCGTGTGTGATCTCCCCAGACCCCTGGCTCCCAGGAGAAAATGCCCAAAGCCCCTCCAGGGGATCGTGTGTGATTTACCTGCCAGGTGCCCAAGCCCACGATGGGCATCTTGGCTTTGGTGCTGAGCCTCACAAAGGTGGCCATGGCTGTGCTGCCCTTCCGAGTGCTCAGGTGGGTGGCTGTCCCCAGGG